TTGCTCCTAGTAGTAAGGCCAAGAGCCGCCTCCTTGCTCCTAGTAGCGTCCTTGCTCCTAGTAGCGATGCCAGGAGCCCCTAGTAGCGTCCTTGCTCCTAGTAGCGAAGCCAGGAGCCCCTAGTAGCTTCTTGCTCCTAGTAGTAAGGCAAAGAAGAGCCCCTAGTAGCTTCTTTTCTTAAGTCTTTCGATTTCTAATCGTTTCACAATGATCCTTGGCAAGACTTGATCCCTTCACGCATTTCCCCGCGAAAAAGTGCTTCGACTTTTTGCGCCTGCAAACGCTTGCGATGAGCTCGCTGTGGATCCAAATCTCCGGCAGCCGGATCCAATGCCTGGTGAGAGAAACCGCGAAAACGCAGTGAAACCCGGTAGTCTCGTGGCAAATGACGGAAATCGATTTGGTGAGTCTTGGCTTTGAAATGAGGAAGATAAGGCAGGGGGAAGTTTCCGATCAAAATGGTCAAACTGAGATAGTGTTGTCTCTGTCTCTTCATTCAGTCACACCTTTACTAAACAGCCATGAGTCCAGTTGTACATACATGGACATATCGCATTGAGCCAAGCCTAAGTCATCACAGTGCAACTCCCGAATTCCTTTGTGAACTCAGCTATTGGCACGGCTATCTAAGCTTTCCCCCAGGATTGTGGGAACAATGCCTTCGAATGACAAGTACTATGTAGTTGGCAATGGCATTTCTTGGGCTGAACACTTCCCAGTAACTTTGATCACGTTTCTTCAAGGAAGGATCGCTCGCACTTATCATTTGGTTCCTAGATTGTTTTGGAAACTTAACTTGTGAAATCAATCACCATCACTGAGGGTATGGTGAAGTGCTCTGTGTGGTTTTGGGGAGACAATTAAATGACCAGGATGAAGAGCTATCCTGCGTCCTGTCGGAAGTAGTTACTTAAGCTACAGCTACTGTTTGCTTCTACTTACGAGCTGCCTAGTTACCTACCTCTTCTCGGCCTTCGCGCCCGGCCCCAAAAAGGTCCTGGTGAAATTGATCCCACTGGAGCTCCAAGTGGGGCGCTCTGTGAAGTTGGGCGCTCTGCTCCTCCACAAGCTCGTGGACCTCCCGCTCGGAATGGCCGATGGCTGACCGAGTGGCGTCAGATCCACACGGATCCACATCACATGACATTCACAAGGGCGCTTCTAGTAGCAAGGACGCTACTAGGGGCTCCTGGCATCGCTACTAGGAGCAAGCAGCTACTAGTAGCTCCTGGCATCGCTACTAAGGACAAGGACGCTACTAGTAACAAAGGGCATCGCTTCTAGTAGCAAGAAAATAGAAGGTCGCCTTACGGAAATCAAAGCCTCGCTGCTTCACTCGTGGAACGTGAAGTGGTGAGTGGAGTTTTCTTCCTCAGGGGCAAGACCTCTGGCGCACTGCGCATGACCGGACATAAGTGGACAGAATCTTTCCTTGGAGAGCGTTAATGACGTGGGTTCAGCAGTTCAGTTTGGACCTCTTGAAAAGGATGATATTTTTATTAGTTTGTCCAGTTTCCTTGCAGCGTTTGTGTTGGCTCTGACCTTGTGGATCTGCAGCATTCATTTGAGTGTGCAGTCATGCCGGTCATTCTATTCCATTGTCCTTTGCTGAGATCTCGACCCTGTTTTTGTTGCGGCAGTGACCATTGTTCTTAGGCATTTTAGTGTTCATCCTGACATGACAAGCCTGGCCCGACTACATGTGGGAGTTGTTCGCTTTTTTCCTGAGATCCCTAGTGTCGTTTCGATTGCTCGTCTCCAACACTTCAAACTCGTGGGCAGCGAGATATGATCTTGCCCGTGCGAGCCTGACGTCCCTTCTTTGTGCCGCTAGCCCATTTGTTCGCTACTAGGGGCTCCTGGCATCGCTACTAGGAACAAAAAGCTACTAGGAACAAGTGCCTTACTAGTAGTAACAAGAAGCTACTAGGGGCTCCTGGCCGTACTACTAGGAGCAAGAAAGCTACTAGTAACAAAGGGCATCGCTTCTAGTAGCAAGGACGCTACTAGGGGCTCCATCGGATGGTCTACGCTCGCTTCCCGCAACGGCGCCTCGGCCCA